ATTATTGCTTTATGTGTGACTGTTTTGCCTGATGTATCTGTGTATGTGTACCATGTGTGCCCTGGTGCCTGCAGAGGTCTGCGGCCATCATACACCTCCTGGAACTGGAGTTATGGTTGTCTGGGAACTACATTGTGGGGGGCCAAACCCTGGGTCCTCTGCAAGGGTCCTCTTAAGCACTGACACATCACTCTGTTTCAAGACAGTTTAATTAAGTAACCCAGGCTGGCTGGGAACTCATGATCCTTTGCTCCTGCCTCCTGAGTGCCCTTTCTGTATACATGTGCATGCTCCCAGGACTTAGTGAAATGTCCATGTTGACTGTAGAGACTTCCATGTGCTGTGAAACAGCAGCTGCTCTCAGGTGCAAGCTGTGGGACAGCAGCGTGACAGACATGCCCGTGTCTGTGGAGGGGCAGTCTCCCCCTGACAGGCTGGATTCCACAGCGGGTGGGGATCGGAGGGGAGCGAATCACGTCCATAGCTGAATGGTGAAGAATCTGCAGGGAGCTGGCAAGGACAAAAGGCTGTTTTCAAGCTTGAGAGGATGAGAACAAACCTGAGTAAGAAACACAATTAAAATTGTCACGTGGGATGGGCCATGGTGGTGCACACTTTTAATCCCAGCTCTGGGAAGGCCAGGGTGGGTGAGTTTGTGAGTTTGAGGATAGTCTGGTCTACATAGTGAATGACAAGACAGCAGAGCTACATAATGAGACCCTTTCCAAGAAAATCAACAACAGAAAAAGTTACATGGAAATGGTAAAAATAAGGGGACAACAAAAAGCCCACAGTTGCCTTGGGTTTGGTTTTTGCAGCACTGAAGATTTTTAAGTATTCAACTTATTTATTGCTGTGTGTGTGTGTGTGTGTGTGTGTGTGTGTGTATGTGTGTGTGTGTGTGTGTGTGTTGGGCATGCATGCGTGCCCAGAAGACAGCTATGTGGGGTCAGTTCTCTCCTGCCTTCCCATGGCTTCTGGGGACCAAACACTGGTCGCCAGGCCCACAGAGAGCAAATGCCTTTACCCGCTGCACCATATTGGTGGTCCCACTGAAGGTTTGGTTTGTTTATGGCTGCCTCGGGCGGCCCAGGCATGACTACGAAGGCACTTGAACTGACTGGCCTGCCTCTACCTCTAAGTGTTTGTTTGTTTGTTTGTTTGTTTGTTTGTTTGTTTGAGGCAGGGTCTCACTCAGTCCCAGGCTGACCTAGAACTTTCTTGTAGCCTCCAGGTTCATGTTCTTGAGTGCTGGGATTGCAGTTGTGAGCACCGCACACCAGACTACTTTTTATTACGGAAACAATGCTTATGCATTGGTGTTTAAAATCTACTTAAAGAAAACAAAGTTTAACGTTTTTATAAGCATTGCATTATTTAAGAGAACAAAACTTCCTTTATAATTTTAAGTGGGTTCAACCTCTATTTAAAAATCATAAACTTCTTTTATAAGTTTAAAAGGACACACTGGGCATGGTGGCATATCTCTTTAACCCTAGTGCTCAGGAAGTTGAGGCAAGGGCATCCTGATCTACATAGCAACTTCCATAGCCTGGGTTACAAAAGGACACCCTGTCTCAAAGCAAACTTTTGTTTGTTTGTTTTTCAAGACAGGGTTTCTCTGTGTAGCGTTGAACTCACAGTGATCTGCCTGCTTCTGCCTCCCAGAGTGCTAGGATTAAAGGTGTGTGCCACCACACCTGGCTTCAAAACAAAAAATTTAAGATTCTTTATGTAAACCACAACACAACTATTTATACAACTTTTCACATTACATAAATGTATATAATATAATAATATAATAGTATAGCATAGATAGTATAATATAATATAAATATAAGAGAGAATTGCTACAGCTTGGCCTGGAGTTCACAGAGCTCAGCCCGCCTCTGCCTCTGCTGAGATTAAAAGCATAGGCTATCATGTGCTACCCAGTAACAGGCTTTTAAAAATACCGTGTAGTCTTCCAGTGTTCATTTATGCCATTTGGTTTGGCCTACCAGAAGATGGCACTCAAATCCCATAGCTTGTAAAGTTTTCTTCCAATCACTGAGGACTTAGTGCCCCATTTTGGGGCTGAGTAATGGTTTAACGGTGGCCACATGTCAAAGGCCAGGCCCATCTTGTACCTGTGACTCTGCCTTCCCCTCATTTAGCAGAAACAGGGCAAACTGAAGCGTGGAAAAGGAATAAAGAGGGAAGGGATGCGCCTCCTGCCTCCTGAGCTCTCGGTGCCTACCCAGCCCTGAACGTGCATAAGCTCCTTGAAGGGCCCCCGTCATCTGCTGTGGATCAGTATCCCCATTTGATGCTTCAGATTCCCCGGGCCCATAACCCTCGGGCCTCAGCTGGGGAACTCAGTAGGAATCATTTATTTAGAGCCACATTTGTCCACAGGCAATCTTGTTTTTATTCATCCTTGAATCCTGTGTTCTCCCAAACCTACCTGGGGCGGGGGAGGCTAGAGAGATGGCTCAGTGATTAGGAATGTGTGCTGCTTTTGCAGGAGACCCGAGTTCAGTTCCCAGACAGAAGCCACACGGCAACCCATTAACAGTCTAGTTCCAGGGGATATGGTGCCCTCTCCTAACCACTGTGGGCTCTGCCTAAACATGGTGCATATGCATGCATGCGAAACACTTATACAAGTCAAATGAAATAAATAAATCTTAAAAAAAAAGAAAAACTTGGTCTTGGGCTAGAGACACAGCTCAAATGCATTCATGGGTCCCTAGGTCCAGTCCTCGGCACCCCATAAACCTAATGTGGTGACACACATCTGTAATCCCAGCACTAGGGAAGCAGAGGTCAAAGGAGGTCAGAAGTTCAAGATCATCTTTGGCGACCGGAGTTCAAGGTCAGCCTGGACTACTTGAGATCTTGTCAGTATTAATAAAAGGGCATGGCTTTGTTTTTCTTGATAGGAATCGGGGAAGAACTCATTATGTAGAAAGATTTTTCATTGACATGATCGAGTCTCAAAAGGATACAATAATTTTAGTATAATAGAACCTTAGACAAACTGCTCCATGCCTGTGTGATCTTAGGCTTAGGTTCCAGGGGACTTAGTTGTCTTTTCCAGGAACAACTAGGTTAGGCCAAAAAGGGGTGCAACCCGGTAGAATGGGAGACATGGTCTGGGGAGGTCTAGAGGCTCCAGCTAGCTGGGAGTCCCCTTCAGCTTTTGGGGAGGGTTTGGGTGTGCCCTGGTGGAAGTTGCCTGCATTCACCCGGACTGTTATGAGGATAGAGCCCTGTGCCCGGGAGAATTCCTCAGAGCCGTCCTGTTTCCAATGCCTTGCCGGAGGGTTGCGTGCCAGACTGCAGCTGCTGTCACTGAAGAAACAGCACCAACTCCCGCCACGAGTCCATACAACCAGTGAGCCTTTCTCCACAGTGGGTAACTTGCACCTCCTCATGCCCTAGGATATATACCCATGTTGGCCAAGCAGGAACAGCCCAAGCTGCGATAATCTTTGTAATTCCCAAATGAACTCTTCTCTGGAGAGCTGATCTTCACTGCACATCACAGGCGCACCCCCTTTCGGGTGTGGACTCAGAGAGTGGCCAGATACCCAGGAGAGCAGTTGGGAATGGGAGAGAATTACAGAAAAACGCGCCATTCCAAGCCAGATGTGACGGATCACTCTCATAATCCAAACACTTGGGGTGAAGGTGGTGAGGGCTCAGGTAGGAAGATTACCATGATTTCAGTATGGTCTACACGCATGAAGATCTCTTGCCGGTTGTGGTGGTGTAGCTTGCTTGCTTGCTTGCTGTTTTTGAGACAGGGTTTCTCTTTGTGACAGGCCTGGCTATTTCTGGACGTGCTTTGTAGACCAGGCTGGCCTCGAACTCCCAGAGATCCACCTGCCTCTGCCTCCTAGTGCTGGGATTTGAGGTGTGTGCCTCCAAGCCTGGCTGGTGATAGCATTTAATCACAGCCCTTGGGAAGCAGAGGTAGGCAGATCTCTGGAAGTCTGAGGTAAGCCTGGTCCACACAGTGAATCCCAGGACAGTCCAGGCTACGTAGAGACACCCTGTCTCAAAAAACAATCAAGAACAAAAACAAAAAAGATCTGTCACACATTTATTTAAACAATGAAAACCCCCTTAAATCCAACATACACACCAAGCAATGCAATGCGTTAGAGGTTCATAGTGGGAGAGCATTGGGCTAGCATGCACAAAGTCCTACATTTAATCCCCAGTTACATACTAATGAAGCCACCCATTCCCAGTACAATAGGGCCAGTCATTGAGGTCTGCATCAGTCAAGAGGTCTGCATCAGCGGTAGACCAAATACAAGTCAGAAGATGAGTAAGTCTGTTCATGGTGGTCAGCTGAGACCTAGGTACCTTAGGACTAACAAAGACGTTCCTTAACTGCACTGAGCGCCTGCTTTACCGATTTTCAAGCATGGTGGAGGGTTGCTGCCTACTTAAGTTCAAACCTCCCCCTTCCCGCTTTGCCTGTGGTAGTTCTCGGCACCTGGAAGCTCTTTTCAGGGAAGCTGTCCAGAATTGACAAACAGCAGCCTTCTTGGATGGATGGGACTAGTGGTGGGCAAACCCTCCAGGGCTCGGAGCTGGAGATGAAGGTGGTGGCTGCTGGTGGCTTTGGCCTGCAAAGCTGCAACATGGTGTATCCCATTCACCCTATAGCCTGAAGGGTCTAGAACACGTGGGCATTTTTTTTAACCCCCACCCATAAAGTAACCCCCCCCCCAAGTGTTTCTTTATTTAGAAACTTCACCTCTTATTTCTGAGTACACATGTGCCAAAGGACATCAACTCCTCAGGTCAACATTTCTCTCTCTGAGGTTTGCCTTTGCTACCTAACTAGTCCCCGACCCCTACCCCTAAGATTGCAGGTTCTGTGTTCTCTTCATGATTCCTCTATACCAGCGAATTTTGCTTTCAAGAGCTAGAAGGAATCGTTTTACACACAAATACCCAGTTAGACAGGGCATCAGCCCCGAGGCAGCTGGGGCCCTGACTTATATGGCCTGGTTGCCACAAGGTGGACAGGGAATAATGCTGAACCAGACCGTCTTGGGGTGTTCTAGTGGCATCATTGATTTGCTCAGCTCCTCCCGAAGCTGTTCCAGCCTCTTGTAGTGGGCCGCACCCTGGGCACCATAAATCTCCCAGGGGGTAGAATACATCTCCAGGCTTAAGCAGCTCAGCCTGGCGGTGTGGCAGAGCAGGTGCTCCAGAACAGCCACCGAGATGGGATTCCTTAAGTAGTTGAATGTGGTGAGCTGGGAGCAGCTGCTCAGGGCAGGCAAGAAGGCACTGAGCTGGGAGTCTACAATCATACAGTTCTCCAAGTCCAGGGTCTTCAGGGTGGCTGAAACCCGCTCGAGCAGGACTCGCAGATGCTCAGGACTTATGTCGGTCAGTGCGACACCACTCAGGTTCAGGTGCTTGAGCTGTCGGATGCCTCGACACTGGGACAGGGACTTCAAGTCTGGTTCTGAAAGCTCGGAGTCGGTGATAGACAGGGTCTTCAGGGGGCCCTCCAGGCAGCTAGGGAGAAACCAAGGAGTTGGTTGTTAAAACCAGAAGTGGTTAGGTTAGGGAGCCCTGGGGTAGAGTGGATCATTTGCTCCATGGTCTTTCTGTCCACCTGATAAAGGTCAATACCCAGTGTGCTGCACTCAGTGTCTGCTCAACCAAGGCCTGGCACCGTCACTGTGGGACTGGCTCAGCCCACAGCCCCACAGCTCCTTACGCAGACAACCCTCGCTCGGGCTACATCACCAAACTGCTCAACGCGAAGGCTTTGTTGTGGTCTATAGGGAAAGCTCTCCATGCTTCCTTACCTGAGCACCTGGTCCATTTTCCCATTGAGGAAGGAGACAGAGTCCATGGAGAGCAACTGGAGGCAGTGCAGGTTGAGAAACTGAGAGGTGAACTGGCTGACCAGCCACTCCTCCTCCTCGGGGGAAATGGAGGTAGACACGCAGATGTGAGAGAGAAGGAACTTGCGAAGATTTTTCATTCGGCCCAGGTAAGGAGCGAACATGGCCAGAGTGGACAGCTTCCAGGCACAGCACACCCCCACTTCCTCCACGCAGTCCAGGTCCAGCATTTCCAGAACATTCACAATGGTCTGGATAGCTACTGTGGAGATCTTTAGCCTCTTACAGGCCAGATGCAGCACGCCCTTCCTCCCTTCCACCCACAGGAAGATGTAGGACAGGCATTCATCCAAGGCGCTTGGCTTGAGGCACAGGTCTATAACCACCTTCAAGGACTGCTTGGCCACTATCCCTGGATCCCTCTTTTGTGTTTTTTTCTTACACTTGACCTCTGGAGAGCAAGACTCTCCTGCCCATACGTTCCAGAAGTCCTTGTGCAAAGTCCGCAAATCCAGAACTTGCAGCTTGTAACCCCTGTGGGGGAAATAAGTCTCAGACTTAAAAGGAGAACCCAACCCTTCCCATTACACTTTGTTACCATTTTTTAAAGATTCATTCATTCATTCATTCATTCATTCATTCATTCATTTATTTATTATGTATACAGTGTTCTGCCTGCCATGTATGCTTGCATGGCAGAAGAGGGCACCAGATCTCATTATAGATGGTTGTGAGTCATCATGTGGTTGCTGGGAACTGAACTCAGGACTTCTGGAAGAGTAGCCAGTGCTCTTAACCTCAGAGCCATCTCTCCAGCCCATTTCCTTTCTCCTTTCTTCTTCGTTCTCTCTCTCTCTCTCTCTCTTTTTTGTTTGATTTTTTTTTCTTTTTTTTGAAACAGGGTTCTCCTTGGCTGGCCTGGACTCACACTGTAGCCCAGGCTGGCCTCGAACTCACAGAGATACACCTTCCTTTGCCTCCCAGAGTGCTGGGATTACAGGCATGTACTACCAGGCCCAGCTTCCATGTCTTGAAATAGGGTTTCACTCTTAGTATGAAGGCCAGACTGACTCAAATGCAGTCCCCCTATTTTATAAGCTGAGGTCCGAAATTACAGGCTAGCACCATCAAACCAGACCTACACAGACTTATTTCTTACTCCCAACATCACATTCCTCCCTCTCTTTTCCTTCTATTTATCCTGATGCTCTTCATCCCTTCCTCTTGAATCCAGCCTGGTCCCACTTCTAGTGCCTATGGGAAAAGGCAGAAGAAGGCATCACCAACCATAGCTATGTCTGTCCTAACAAACCTAAACATACATAAACCTTTAGCCTTCCTTCCATTCTCTATTCTCCTTGACCCTAGCTCTCTCTAGACTCCCAGACCTCCCTTCACAGTACCTGGGTCTCCCTCACCTGGGGTGAATCTTCTGGTCAAGCAGTGTATCAATCCCATCCAGTATGGTTCGTAAGATCTCCAGGTAGGGTGCCTTCATCTTCATCAGGCCCCCCAGTGGGAGACAGGGGAAGGGCCAGGTCTGCACCATCGCTCTCAGAATGTTAGATCTTCCATTCATGAAGGCTGCCTTGAACAGTGGTGGGAAGAGCTCCATGGGTAGCTCTTCCAGAGCAGAGATGGCCAAGGCCTCATCCCTCAGCAGGCTCTGCACTGCTAGCTGCAAGAGCGTGGGTGGGGCCTGGAAGCTCATTGTCACAGGTCTGTGGGGAGGTGTTCTGGAGGAAATGTCCAAGAAAAGACACCTTTCAGGTCAAGGATTAAGAAGCCCTTCTCTTCTCAAGCCAGAAACAAACTCGGGGGCCAAAGCTGCTGCTCCGGCATGGGTTTTCTTTACTCATCCATTTGCAGAAAGGATCCTGTTGCATTGCGCTCTCCCACCTTGTAATGTGCTCCAAAGAGCCTGCAAGCTTACTCTGCTCTTTAGAAAAGAATTTTATCATCGCAGGGCCCTGGAACCAAGATTGAGAATGTCCTGTGGACTAACATAGTCACATTCTCAGTTCCATCAATGCACTTGGCTGTGTGCACAAAGACACACACACACACACACACACACACACACACAGAGAGAGAGAGAGAGAGAGAGAGAGACAGAGACAGAGACAGGGACAGAAAAGGAAAGCCAGGCGGTTGTGGTACCTACCTTTAATTCCAGCACTCAGGAGGCAGAGGATCTCTGTGAGTTAGAGGCCAGCCTAGTCTATGAG